GATGACCTCCGACTGCGCGAAGTGAAAGGAAAACGGGGCGAGTAGCTAATTGATTCCGGAACGAATTGGAAGATGGGTTGTAAAACAAATGAAGGATGGTAAAGAATTGGACAAATAAATGAAAGGCAATTATTCTATTAATTTATTCGATGGCTGATGCCAGTAGTAGGTTCAATAATTGCTTCGATAATTGTTTATTAACATTGTTAACCAACATCCAAATGTTGTCAATTCATTGTGTATAATTGTTTTGAACGGTTCACTTCGATTTTCGTGATTTTAATTTTAACGGATAAAGTATGTTTCTCCGATGGTCCCATAAATGTTATTATAAATTTGGACCAATAACCAGCGAGTATCAGTAGAAAAAACAGCACTCCGCGCGATGCGGAGAGATGATACATATGTCCTCAGCAGATTACGTCAATCTAGCGTAGCGGAATCGGGGGAGGACGTCACGATATCGGAAGGGAAAACGTGAATCGAAAAGAAACTTAATCCCGGATAGAGGTTCGCTGCGAATCCACGGGAAATATCGTTGCCCGGTTCGCTGGAGATCTGCGCATATTGGCCTCGTTTGCACGTTTCGTTTCGTTTCCCTCCCTGCCACTTCTACCTTTTACCAGGAATTTGATCGTCATCCAGGTATTTGCTAGACCCGATAACGGGCCCCCGTTCTCCTCCAAGTGGCTTCCTAATTTTTCACATCTCTCCACTCGACTCGAGCTTTCTCCATTTATAGTCCCGATCCAGCCCTTTCGTTCAGATGCGCAACATTTCCTCTGCAATTTTTTTACTGTGTTTCTATTCAATGCATGAAACCATTGATGAATGCATTGAAGGTTTTTATCTTTTATAAATTACTAGCATTCTTCGCAGCATACAAGAAAGCTACAATCCAAACTTCGATAAAAATATTTCAGTCGTCTCTGATATTTTTGCTAACATAAACAAACGCTTTCTTTAATAGTAAGATTTCATGTGATATTTCAATTTTGATTTTCACATTTCAATGATTAAGAATGATCTTTAATAGCTACGAAAAAATCGAGTTTAATCATGAGCCAGCTTTAAAACGGAAGACCGAAGATTTCTCTCTCATTTTCTGTTCAATTTAGCAACGTTATCGCAGCCCCGATAATGTTCGTCTTCCAGCTTCTCAATTTCGTTTCCCTCGTTTACGTTCGCCGACACTCTTTTTTTACACGTCGCTGCAGTAATAGAATAACACTATAGAAATTTCCACGTAGCTAGAGAGAATTACATGATTACTAAATATTTGCGAGAATAGTATTAAAAATAATTTATGAAATGTCGTAACAAAATTATAATTAAAGCGATGGAATAAATTATTTAACTGGAAATAAAACTAGATGTTTAGATAAATTGGACGGAGAGTCAAATATTCTCACGGGGGCGAATTTAAACGCGTTGCGTTTAATACTTAAATCGTATCTCTGAAATGAGACGCGTAACGGTGTGACGCCCCGGCTTGACAGTGCTATTAAAAGCAATATCGTAGCCGAGGCTGTCAGATCTGGGAATAAATGGAGCAGCGACGGAGCTGTTCGAGCTGAAAATGAGTTTCCGGATGCGACGCTAATCTTATTTCCGGCGGTGAATTTACCGCGACAAACGTTCCTTTCTTTACCCACTAGCTTAGACAGCCATAGCAATTGGAAATCTGGAATTTATAATCTACCAGTGAAAATTCTAAAACATAATACGCAGATAGAAGTATGTGATGATAAATAATTGAGACCGTAGTACATATATATCTGCACATAACGTGACAGTAATGGTTTTAAATCAATCTTGAAAGTGATAAAAAATTCAAACAGGATGAGGTAAGGCGGAATTGTCAGAGAAGCAGGCCACGAATCTTTCCTAATGCGCTATTTTGTAACTCCGACGCTCTCCTCGAAGGAAACCTCGTCCCGGAGGAAACGATTCGAGTCGAAAGTGGCGCGATTCCAATTCTCCTGGAGATTCGAACGCGCCAGAGCGAGAGAGAGAGAGAGAGAGAGAGAGACAGTGACTAGAATCCATTATCGCCGCCGATTTAAAACGTAGAGAAGTCGAGGCGAGCGTAATGGCGTCTTCCCCAGGACGACGAGCGTTTTACGTCGATTTTTCCCGCGTCGCGTACGATCGCGAGCGGATGTCACCGTCGTTCGTCCGCATGATTTATAGCACTCGAACGAGAACGCGTCAGTAAACAACGCTGTCGGGCTATCGCGTGAAAAATTCACAATCCTCCGAGCGGATTTATGTAAATACTCATGGACGAAAGCAATGTCTTTTGCAACTGTTTCAAATCTGATGATGTACGATTAAAATCGAGTTCTGGTCGACACTATGAAAACAGCATTTTCCTTTCAAACACTTTTATTTACAATACTATGTTCGTCACTTCAATAACCATAAATGTTATTATAAATTTGGACCAATAACCAGCGAGTATCAGTAGAAAAAACAGCACTCCGCGCGATGCGGAGAGATGATACATATGTCCTCAGCAGATTACGTCAATCTAGCGTAGCGGAATCGGGGGAGGACGTCACGATATCGGAAGGGAAAACGTGAATCGAAAAGAAACTTAATCCCGGATAGAGGTTCGCTGCGAATCCACGGGAAATATCGTTGCCCGGTTCGCTGGAGATCTGCGCATATTGGCCTCGTTTGCACGTTTCGTTTCGTTTCCCTCCCTGCCACTTCTACCTTTTACCAGGAATTTGATCGTCATCCAGGTATTTGCTAGACCCGATAACGGGCCCCCGTTCTCCTCCAAGTGGCTTCCTAATTTTTCACATCTCTCCACTCGACTCGAGCTTTCTCCATTTATAGTCCCGATCCAGCCCTTTCGTTCAGATGCGCAACATTTCCTCTGCAATTTTTTTACTGTGTTTCTATTCAATGCATGAAACCATTGATGAATGCATTGAAGGTTTTTATCTTTTATAAATTACTAGCATTCTTCGCAGCATACAAGAAAGCTACAATCCAAACTTCGATAAAAATATTTCAGTCGTCTCTGATATTTTTGCTAACATAAACAAACGCTTTCTTTAATAGTAAGATTTCATGTGATATTTCAATTTTGATTTTCACATTTCAATGATTAAGAATGATCTTTAATAGCTACGAAAAAATCGAGTTTAATCATGAGCCAGCTTTAAAACGGAAGACCGAAGATTTCTCTCTCATTTTCTGTTCAATTTAGCAACGTTATCGCAGCCCCGATAATGTTCGTCTTCCAGCTTCTCAATTTCGTTTCCCTCGTTTACGTTCGCCGACACTCTTTTTTTACACGTCGCTGCAGTAATAGAATAACACTATAGAAATTTCCACGTAGCTAGAGAGAATTACATGATTACTAAATATTTGCGAGAATAGTATTAAAAATAATTTATGAAATGTCGTAACAAAATTATAATTAAAGCGATGGAATAAATTATTTAACTGGAAATAAAACTAGATGTTTAGATAAATTGGACGGAGAGTCAAATATTCTCACGGGGGCGAATTTAAACGCGTTGCGTTTAATACTTAAATCGTATCTCTGAAATGAGACGCGTAACGGTGTGACGCCCCGGCTTGACAGTGCTATTAAAAGCAATATCGTAGCCGAGGCTGTCAGATCTGGGAATAAATGGAGCAGCGACGGAGCTGTTCGAGCTGAAAATGAGTTTCCGGATGCGACGCTAATCTTATTTCCGGCGGTGAATTTACCGCGACAAACGTTCCTTTCTTTACCCACTAGCTTAGACAGCCATAGCAATTGGAAATCTGGAATTTATAATCTACCAGTGAAAATTCTAAAACATAATACGCAGATAGAAGTATGTGATGATAAATAATTGAGACCGTAGTACATATATATCTGCACATAACGTGACAGTAATGGTTTTAAATCAATCTTGAAAGTGATAAAAAATTCAAACAGGATGAGGTAAGGCGGAATTGTCAGAGAAGCAGGCCACGAATCTTTCCTAATGCGCTATTTTGTAACTCCGACGCTCTCCTCGAAGGAAACCTCGTCCCGGAGGAAACGATTCGAGTCGAAAGTGGCGCGATTCCAATTCTCCTGGAGATTCGAACGCGCCAGAGCGAGAGAGAGAGAGAGAGAGAGACAGTGACTTCGATCCATTATCGCCGCCGATTTAAAACGAGAGAAGTCGAGGCGAGCGTAATGGCGTCTTCCCCAGGACGACGAGCGTTTTACGTCGATTTTTCCCGCGTCGCGTACGATCGCGAGCGGATGTCACCGTCGTTCGTCCGCATGATTTATAGCACTCGAACGAGAACGCGTCAGTAAACAACGCTGTCGGGCTATCGCGTGAAAAATTCACAATCCTCCGAGCGGATTTATGTAAATACTCATGGACGAAAGCAATGTCTTTTGCAACTGTTTCAAATCTGATGATGTACGATTAAAATCGAGTTCTGGTCGACACTATGAAAACAGCATTTTCCTTTCAAACACTTTTATTTACAATACTATGTTCGTCACTTCAATAGAATTGATATATGCATGTAAGTTTAAGTCAGGCTTCTGGCTTCTTCATGAATAGCCTCAAATCACAGCTATGGTTTATGATAGATCAGAGTACAAATATTTACAACAATTCTACATTTCATCATTTTACATATCTAAATCATATACATTTACAACTCTGTCATGTTACATACAATTTCCTACAAGAAAGTAACATGGGCTATTCGGGCTATCCAAGTGATCAGCACTGTATGTCTGACAAAGAAATGTTTTCAACGGTCAGATTCCGGGTTTAATAAACGGCAAAAGTTTCAAGAAACTATGCTTCATTGAATACATACAAGAGAATAAATCATCATATATTTTTGGAAACTCATTTCCTCATACTAGCTCCAGTTTACAGAAAATACAATAGAAGTTTCAATACTGGCATAGAAATTGAATAATGAAAACCTATCAATAAATGCTTGGTGAGAGTTAATAAAAATGTTATTTGTTCCAGTGTTGACGGTGCCTGGGTACGAGGTGAGGGTGAACAGATCCTCAGTAGTGGAAGGATGCAACGCCGTCTTGTCTTGCACAGCACGGGAGGACGTGAAAGAACACCTGACGGTCACCTCCTGGTTTCGCGACGATGCTATTCTTCTACCCGGTAGCACGGACACGGGTCAGTACCAAAAACTTGAAAAGATTTAGAAAGAAACTGCACGGTTATTTTCTTTTGCTTATAAATTAATGAATATTTATAATTTCAGGATGACGCATGACGTTCAAGTAGTATACTGAGAAAGGAATTTTTGTTTTTACTGTATATTTGAGAAATTTCTTTGATTTTGTATAAAATAATAATTCGAACGTGTGCATGTGCGATTAAGATTTTGTATTAAAATTAGATGAAAATTATTGTCACATTCAGTTTTATTTTTATTTATCCTCTGAATTTTGCCTCGAATCCCATGTATAAAATTATTCATAGCTTCTAGATCATAAAGTAAGTATTATATAAATAAGGATTAACAACTTGTAAGATACGCTTGTATATATATATAAAAATCCGCTCCCCGAATGAATTTCAAAAGTCTCTGCCGTCGTGGCACTACTTCGGAAGAAGCATAAGGTTTTGAGATCGAATCGCGGAGGAAATCGAGCGTGAAATCGAGTGCGGAGATCGATCCGCACGGAGATGCGATGATAAATCGTCGTTACGTGTCATGAAATTCTAAACGTGATCGTACCGGGCCAACAAAGCATAAAAACATCCACTTGGCCGTGCGATAGTCCCCGGGGACTCCGCGAGGACGGAGAAAGGGAATCCTCGATGACGTTCGATCGCGAACTCAAAAATAGCGAGTGGTGGTAGAAAGACGCGTTTCTCCCTGTTGAAAAGAACACGGATCCGCGATAAAGTTGAAAACGGATGAGAGAAAGTGGAGTAACGTGTGCCGCCTAACTGCGGAGTTATTTCAAAGTTACCTCGCTCGCTGGTGAACGTGTTTCGAACGAGGGAAAGAGAGTTTGATAGTTTTTAAACGTTCTTCGTGACTGAAATAGAAACGGATGACACCTCCGAGACTATTTCATATCGTAATTCAACGTGTACGTGTCTTTAGAGGAGTTTTCTCATTGCAGTATCCACAGTTATCCATTAATTTATTTTTGTATATTCCTGTATACAATCTACTGAAATTTACTCTATCTAGAGAATATTAAAGCTCTTCTGGCTACACGTAAAAATAATGACACGTGTCAATTTGGAGGCAAATAGTTATCATATAAAACTCGCATGAAAAATTTGAAAGAAATTGAGGAACTTGTTTTACTTCGTCCTATAAGAATTCACATTTCAGTTAGGTGATAGCTGGTCAAGATCAGATGAAGAAAAAGCCGATATTATTGCAAAGCATTAATTTTAAATCCATAAACAAAAACTGAACCTGAAAGAAAGACTCATTAAGTACCTCTTCTTATACATATAAAAGCAATTATAAAATGGAAATTGCTGTTGCATTCACGATTATATACAATATACAATAAGAAAGTGCAATCTGTTTAATTGGATAAAACGTGAAAAACCGTCTGGCCATTACATTTAATCATCGCTCGAGAGAGCGGAAGAGGCATTATACCGTCCGGAAATAGGTGCTCGACCCCTTTTTCCGGTATTTCAGGCAGCGGAGCACACGCATCGCGCGATTCAGCTGTGTTCCGCTCGCCTGCTTCAATCCGGCTTTATGCCTTTGTACAATCCATGCACCCGTTGTTTTTTCAACGACAGTGACGACGACGACGACGACGACGAAGAGGAGATACGCCTGTTCTCGTCGACGGTAACGGTTGTTAAGTTCGAATCGGCGGCGCGCAGCGCCGCGTAATTGACGAAAGCAGTTTTCATACGATACTCATCCTTTCCACTCTGCCACGTTTTCTTTCCCGTTTCGCGACGTCGTTCCACGCTTTACGCACGCACTCGTCTTATTTTGTCCGCGTTTCTTTTCGCATTTACTGTCACGAGGCATCGACCGGGATCAAAGTTCGAAACGCTTTGTGCCGCGAAGCGTTAACGAGAGATTTTGATGAGGAGCACAGACGGTCTCAGTTAGATATACGCATATATGCAGGGGAAGCTGGAGCGAGAAGAAATGTAAACAGAAGTGAAATAAATTTTTCACATAATATTTATTAGTACATTTTTATAAATATAGATCTAATATTATATAAAGTAAGGAGTGAAAGGATTATCGTTTTACAAATTAATATGATTTTCTAATTTTGGCTGAGATCCGTGGCAAGATGGAAAGATTTAATTATATTCAACGTAATTAAATATTTAACAATAAGTACTTATAGATGTTAAATAGTACAGATGCACGATTGATCAGACCTCGACAAACATTCACTAGAGATTTAATTATCAAGTTTTATTCGACTTTTTCGGAAGAACTAGCTGCAATGTAGTTGAAAAAAATCGGCACACAGGTCGTTGATCCGACGAACGGGAAGGGAAGGGTTCAATCAAAATTAAAAATCCGAAAGGGAAGTTTGAACGTTTATTTCCTAACGCGTGCGCGTGGAACTTTCATCGCCGCCAGTCCCGTACAAACAATCCCCGAAACAGTCTCGGTGGAATACCCAGCGGGGAGCGGAGGGAGGAAAAAAGAAAGAAAGCTGAAGAGGAGGCCTTCAAACTTCATTTTCAGCGGCGCGAGACTTTTGCCTTTCCATAAACAGTTCGCGAAGCACCCTCGGGGTAAAAATGCCACCACCCCACATCGCCGGCTTTTGCTAGCGCCGGGTTTATTCGTAAATTCGTGGCAATGCCGATACAAATTAAAAGCCAGTGCAAGCAAACTCAACCCGTTCGATTCAGCCAGCAAACGATTTAAACGGTTGAAGAGTTTAAACGGTGCTGTTTGGTCAGGTCGTGGTGTTTCCTGAAACTCTCCGAGTTTTTCATTAAGTGACAAGCTCAACGCTCAATCTGATTGAAAAATTAAACTCTAAAAAAGATGTATATTGAATTCAGTTCTTAAGGTAATTTTTGTCCAACTATATTAGTCAAGATAAGGGTTATACCTATATTATAGTAAATTTCAGCTTTCTAAAAATATGGCAGAGTATTAACACAGTTCAGCAAAAAAATTTGACCCGTGCATGGTGAGTTTAGTGTTAGTTGTAAGCGAGATGCAGGAGTATTTAACGAATAGTCACTTTTTTTTAACTTACAATATTACGCTGCAAAAAATGACTTCAATAATACTTCATCCGAACGTCTTCCCATTTTCTGTAAGACTCTTAGTAAGTATATTAGTATTAGCATAAAACGAACTATCGGGCACTGGAAATCGATGGTACGTGGGACTCCGGAGTAGGAAATTCACTTGAGCTTTTCGCATAAGAATCGCGACATCTGCGGAGGATGTCCCTCGAGGTGTCCCGTAAAGAAATCCGTTACGAGTCCCGCGGGGAGCGCAACGATAACACCGGAAGTTGAACGAAAGGGGGAAGGGGGCCGCCCGAAACGTTTTAATATTGGCAATGGCGGAAACAAACTCGAGCCGCGCGACGACTGGAAGAAGTATGGAAATATCCGGCATGAAGACATTCGGTAGCGGACATCTGCGACGAAGAAGTTTTGTGAGCAAACAACAGGCAGTTTTGCAACAGAACAGTGAAATTAAAAAAGTTCGAGATTTTAATAGTACATTTCTTATTTTACATTGAAAGTATTG